CGAACGTTCGTGCTTGCAGTGTGTTCTTCTTCTCATGTCTTGTGCAAACTTGGCCGTCCCGAGATTTCCCTGGCCAAGAGTGCGACGGCAGTCGTGCAGGCACAACTCCGCTGAGTGTTTGTATGCTTGCCTTTTGTTTCGAACTCGACGTTTTGCGCTTCAGCTTCTTCATGAGCCTTTATCACTACGAGGTTGTGCGGCAGAACCTGAAAGACTGCACCTTGCTTACTTCGGATTCCTCCGATCTGCCGCATGGCGCATAGTTCTGTTTCCGAGGCTGGGATGCGCGCTGGGGGGCAGAGGCGCTGTATCAGGCAGTGTCTGTTCAAAGACTGAGCGGATGCCACCGCAACGTGGCGCATTCACGCGCGCCTCTCATTGCAGCTGAAGCTTGGAGGTTGCCAAGCGATCCACAGCGAGGACTCGACAGGACGGGTGGCTTTCAGGAAAGGGAGAACGGCAGGTCGCAGTGACAGGGTTGCGTGCAAGGAGTGGGCGGAAGATAAGGCAGTCTTGAAGCTGGCTGAGAAGCTGCAGGAAGACGCCGCAGACTTAGGCCTAGGCTTCTCTTGAGGTCCGGGGAGGGACGAGGACAGCACCGGAGTGCCTGAGGCAGCTTCCGGGAGCCTGGGGCTGAACCTCGACTCTGTGAGGTGTCTCTTGTGGTGGAAATGTGTCCTTCTGCAAGATGACTCCATGGCCACGGCTGTCACGCGGTGTCGCGTCGCTGCGCCGCTGAGATGATGCAGACATCATCTTGCTGTCCATGGAGGCTCTCAGAAGGATGACGATACAGGAGCTTCGAAGGAGAGTTGCCAGGGTCACCATGGGTCAACCCACGGCAAACCCTGTCCCAGGAGTCGCAGGATCAGAAGTCCATCATAGAGGTGGGCACGTTGATCCTTTTCTTGGTTTCTGGGTTCCCAAAGAGAGGAAAGAGTGCCTGCAAGCAGCTCGCAAGCTCGAGCACTCGGCACCCGGCCCAGCACGTCGTCTCCCTGATGGTCGCTCGCAGCTGGCGGTCTCCTGCCAAGAGCCGCGGGCAAAGGCTTCCCTCGCTGCCGTCAAGGTTCGTCCCGGATCCTCTCTCCAAGGCCTTGCGCGGCTTTTCTGGCTCGGTGCGCCATTGAAGAGCGAAGGCCGGCCCGTGGAAACAACAAGCCAACGCCGTGCGCCTGCGTCTTCGTTCGTCTGGTTCTTGGGACAGGCTCGCTGAAAGAGCACTTCGCGTCGAAGGCTCTGCCCTCGCTGCTCCGCTCCAAGCAGATGGACCTTGCCACGGCCTCATAAGCAAAAGTCGAGCTCTGCAAAGAGCAGTGCTAAGACTGCAATGGAAGGATGGGCCAGACTTGGCCCTGATCTTGGCCGCCATGAAGGGCGAGAAGGGTGCGGAGCCAGGAGGATCGGAAGGGTCGGCCGCCTTTTTTTTGGAGGTGTGAAGGACACCGCCCTCCAGTCGAAGGTCGGAAAGGGGTTCCTGCCGTTCTTCCCTTGGTCCTTTCTCACTTCTTCAGGTGGTGCTGCGACTGAAGGAGAAAGGCATCCATCGTGGCCTCTCTGCAACTGCCGCTTGATTGAATCTACTGCAGTCTTGGAAATCCATGCCGCAAGCCTTTTCCTGGCAGGACATTGTGGAGATGGCGGAGTGTCTTCAGGTACTTGCACCTTAAGTCTTCGAGCTCAACATGGAGTGAATCCCATTGCCACACCACCAGGACCTGGGAGTGCAAGATCAGGTGCCCTTTGGGGGAGGCTTGCGTCTTGCGTTTTAGTCGGCCTTCAGTTCTCAGCTAAGGCGGCTTTGAGGCCCTTGGGCCAGGAAGGACTGCGCCGGCGAGGCCCAATGGGCCGTGCCCGGCTCCGGCTTTGCAGGGCTTTGGCTGCTTGAACTACTTGTATCCGCTGCAGGCGAGCTGACTCCTGATGAGTCCCATCGCATCCACACCGCCTTCCAGGTGCTTCAACAGCACACAAAGCCTTTGCCTTGCAGTGCCAAAGTTTGCTTCGATTCGCCACGTGACGATAGGCGATGAAGCAGCCGCTTCCGCTGCTCAGCTGTGTGTTGTTTCGGAGTGCTCGGCGTCTCTTGTCGGGGAGTTGGCAGCTTGAACCGGCCGGGCCAAGCGAAGCTCTTGAGACGTTTCCAAGGCAGGTCTGGGACAAGCCAGGCAGCACGAAGACGAAGCAGACAGAAAATGGCAAGGTCACCACGCAGGTTCGACATGGATCGCACGTCTCGAGACCAGATCAAATGCTTGCTTTGCAGGCCTTCGCCTTGCAAGAAGGGCACGAAAAGAAGCGGCACGGAAACAACGATGCCTGGCAGTGCTTTGTAATTTAGCAGCTGCTTCAGCCGGATTCTGTGGTCTCGCTTCATTGTGGCACGTTTACATTGCACCGATTTTTCGATAAGCCGCCCCGTGGCTTTGCCAGCATCCCCATCTTTGTACGACAGCCCCTCAGCTTACTGGGTCTGTGGCAAGACGAGGAAGCGCCACTCCTGGCCAAGCAGGATAAGAGAGCACGCGCTGGGAGTTGGATGACTAGATCTGGCACGCAGCTACGGGTAAACTCTAGAGCTAATTCGGATTAGCTTCCAAGCGAAATCTTTACTGCGAGCGAAGGGTTTCGTGGACTTCCCGTAGCAGGAATTACACAGGATTTTTCATCTGTCTGGCCTCTCGCCCAAGGACATCCAGCGAACGTGGATCCGGCATCTTGGCCTCTGCAGGATGGTTCTTTCCTGTGACGACGTGGCAGGTCTCCTCCCAGAGTTGTCCGAGATATGAAGATGTGCTCCTACTGAGAGGGCAGCACCCTTTTCGCAGCTGGGAGACAAGAAAGCACTGCACTTGATGTGCTCCGACTGCAGACGAGGGTCACGACAGTCAAATACCTCGCCTCGCTTCAATTGCGCAGCCTCGAGCCAGCGAGCTCTTCGCATTCCTGTTGGCATTGTACTCACACGAACCGGAGTTTACAGGCCGAGGTGAGTCCTCACGTTTGCTTGCATCTAGAGACTGACAGCATCATCCCAAGTGCCTCACAGTGAACATGCAGGCGTTCGAGGCACTCAGATGAGAGTCAAGAAGTAGCACATGCATTACGCAGCATTCTTGCATCTGTGTTGGTAGGTGGATGCTGCAGCAAGCACTGCAATAGCCAGAACGCCTTCGCGGTGCAGGCACCTGGCAGTTTGATGCTTGCTGCAGGACAGGATCGTTGGGTCTGTCCGCGAATCTATCAATACCACCGGAAAACATTCGCGGGATTGCTTGAGCTTCTTCGGTAAGGACCCATGTGCAGACATCTTGAGGGTAACAAGAGCATTGTTCTTTCTCGATGACGAAGCAGGGTATGGTGCAGCTGGTTGACCTTTCCGACTGTGCCCAAACCAAAGCCATCCTGCAGGCAAGTTGCTTTTGTCGCCGCGCCGATTTTCTTCGTGGCTGCTTTGCTTGGCGGTAGCAGAACTCAGTGCAGCATGCTGGCACAACAGCCAAACCAGGACGACGTTCAACTGCGGTTGCAATGCTTCTCTGCAGGGCGATCCTGTGAACCGCGCTCGAGTCGTCTGTGCTGCATGAGCCCTTTCTTGCCGAGTCTGTGGACTCGCCGGGCTTTTCTCGGCCCCGGATCTTGGCCTGAAGCCCGAGCCATGCAGAAACGAGGATTCGGGATGATCACATGGAGCCCTCTGAAGGTAGCAGGGCCCTGATCAAGTCGATGCAGGGCACCAAAGCCGGGTCCCGAGCCGACTACGCGGAGACTGCCTGGAGCATAGTGTGCGAGGACTGTGAGGAGGCCGGCGAGGTAGTGCCGGGCCGATTCCGTCCGGGGTCCTGGCGGGTCCTGGCAGCTCAAAGCTTTTCAGTTGTGATTCTCTGCTCTGCCGTGGCCAGGCCCGCGCTGCACCGACGGCCATTGGGCTTCGCATCAGTGCCCCGGACCTGGCTCTCCCGGCTCTCCCTGGGCCTTCTGGGAGGGGGCGCTTGAAGCCAAGGTGATGGCAGCACCGGCATGTGCTGGTGCGCGGACAAGGCCCTTGCCCATCGGGTTCTCGCACCCAGGATGCGATGATTGCCTAGCAGGCTGGTCAATTGCTGGAGGGAACTCGCGGCAAGCCTGGCAAGGGGCCAAGGCGGGCAAGACGCGATCGTGACTGAAGCTCACGAAAGGCTCAAAGCTGCCATCAGACCGCACTGTTTCGCTGGAGCTTTCGCTTCAAGGCACAAGGCCGAATTGCAGGACATGCCAGCCCAGCCCCCCAGCCTTCCGAAAGTGACTTTGCCATGAACAGCCCATATGCCCGGCAAACCCTGAAAGCAGGAAGCACATCTGTCAGATCAACTAGATTAGGGTGCCGCAGTGGCATCGCCCGCCATGGGCCAAAGCGTCTCTGGGATTTTAAGCTTTTTCGGCGGCGGTTCGAAACAAGATCCTTCGCATGCCGACGATGATGAGGACACCATTCCAGGCATGTGCCTCACGCACAAGCATCTGCAGCATGTGCCCCGAGAGGACGTTCCAGAAGCTTCCCAGAGATACAAGAAGTGTCCAGCCCGCAGTTTAAAGGCAGCGAGGCTTGGCCTCAGCTGGTTGAGTGCCGTTTCCGAGGAAAGGAACTGTCTCTCCAAGGTTCAGAAAGCACGAGGAGTTGTTTGCTACTTCCATTCCCGACAGCTGGGTGGCTCCCGAGTTGCTGGAATCTTGTCTGGAAGAAGGGAGACATTTGCATTTCGTTGCAAGCACTCATTTAGGACGTTGGTGGTCGCGACGGGCTTGAGCTCAGGAGATCGTCCGAGCTTGCAAGTCTGGCTTCAATTGTGAGCCCCGTGAAATCTGTCCACATCTCCGCGGGGTCCCCGAGAGAGAGGGAGAGAGAGACTGTAGGGGGGCTTGCTCCCCTGCACCACAACCCTGTGGAAAGGAAAGAGAGACAGAGAGAGAGGGCTCTCGTCACCTGTCACATTTGAGCTAAGCACAGGTGTAAGCTTGGGATAGAAGTGCTCTCGCCCGATCGTGCGCAGTCCCCGGTCGGAGATCTTTCCGAGGCGAGGAGGTGGCGGGTGTGTACTCGTTCCCGTGCTTCACGAAAGACTTCATCTCTTGCTTCAACGAGGAGATGCCAGTGATACGCGAGGGATATCGAGGAAAGGGGAAGCCATGGGAAGCCAATATATACACACATAGGAGAGAAGGTCGGAAAGAGTCGTCGTATTTGCACCTAGTGAAATCTAATGACTAGTTTCCAGCCGCGGCCTGAGCTGCAAAGCGCCAGCTTTGGAGATCTACTCCAACCGTGTCAGGGTTTTAGGGGTTTGGGTTTGAAGGGATTGTTGTCGGGGTTTGTCATACGGACTTAGCATGTGATTAGGTGTAGATATGGGTAACTACTGACGTTAAACAGTCATCTGCAGAGGGTTTTTTGTATCGCAACTGTTTCAAGACAAACTTAACAAGATAAAATGTGGTGCCACGGAGTCTAATAAGGTTTGTTGAGTTTCTGTGTGGCTTGAGGTTATAGGGCCAGGAGGCTTGCATGCAGCACCTAGAATGCCAGTGGATGCCAGCGCAAACCGCCCTGCGAGAGGCAAATCCGCCGAAACCCAAAGCCCAAGAACCCCTGAGCCCTTGCAACCCCGTTATCCACTTAAGACCCCTAAGCCGCAGCTCGAATGCAAGCTAGCCATTTCAGCATGTTCTGAGCATGTCTGAAACCCTGATCTTTGAAGTTTTTACTCCAAGGCGCAGCCTCTCAAACTCACGCTAGTGTAGTTTCATGCTCCAAGTGTTAGCTGTCTTAAAACTCGAAGCAGTCGGACAAGGAGATTGCTAGCTTCTACTCATCCGGCATCCCAGCGCGGCGCCCGAATTCCATGAACAATTACGGCAGCTTGGCTCCTCCGTGCTTCAACACTCCGAAATATTGCCTGGAGAATGGCAGTCAGCCTTGTGCCCTCAACGAGTCCGCGACGTTTGAAACCAATTTCACGAGAGTATCAGGACGGCTGACTCTAGGATAGAGCATCATAGCACAACAAGATGTGAACAAGAATTGTAGCCATGTTTCTTAACTGACGAATTCTGCAAAGCCTTACCGACTCCGTGCGAGAGTGAGGGGCGCGATCTCGCTTGGACATGGGCCCCGGGTAGTCTCGCAGTTTCGGTAGTCAGGATGTCACAAGCAACAAGAGGCAATTTGCATGGAACTTGCATGGGCAAGACCTCCATCTGGCATCCGTTGCCCCAGGTGTCATCGTGAACGAGATCGGAATGCGACCAATGATCACAGAGTTCCAGCAAAAGTATATTTGGCCAGTTGCAGCCTGGCAACATCAAGTACTTGTTCTCTCTCTCTCTCTCTCTCGCTCTCTCTCTCTCTCTCTGTCTCTCTCTCTCTCTTCATGCGCGAGAGACGCATCAGCCGCCCTTCACTTGAGGCGAAAGTGCTGTTTCCCGAGCAGGCCGGACCATGCATGGCTTTTGTACCTGCAACAGTGCTGGGCAGTGCCAGAGGCATCGCAGTTTGATGACCACCACTCCTTCATTGTGCGATATACTGCTTCTGAAGATTTGGGTTTGGACATGCACACAGACGACTCTGCAGCTCGTCTCGAAATCCACAGTGAGTCAGTGCTTTCTTGAAGAAGATTATTGTCTTGCTGCTTCTCCGTTGCAGCTGTTTCTCTTAGGACGTCACCTTCAACGTTTGCTTAGGCCAGCTCATCGGGTTTCTTGGGACTGCCAACTGAAGCCTTCGTAAGCTCAGATCTTAATAGCATCGACAAATGCGGCGAGCGATGCGGTCTACACATGCCTCTTGCCATAGTGCGTCGTGGGCTGCCGGAGGCCATGAATTTACGGGAGCTACGTTGACTTTCTGCGGCTACATGGGTGCACCTAATCACCGCAAGGCGCGGAATTTCCCGATGCCTTGAAGCTGCTTCAAGCCATTGAAGCATTCTTGGCAGGCCTCCCACGTTTACTCTCACGAGGCGAGGGGACGATCTTCGCGCTTGATCGTGCTCACTAAGATGGCTTTTCTGCATAGAGAGCCTGCTGTTGACTGCAGGTGGGGAGGGCAGTGTTGCATTTGGGCAGTCGGCGACACGGAGCTGATGACATCGCCTCTGGCACACGGATGAATTTGATAGTTTGGCCTCGTGGCTGCACTGATTTCAAGCAGCGCTTTATCACTGGCCATCTATGCGCAGTGACAGCACATGACAGTACAATGTAGCTTGCGTTGAATGCCCAACAAGGTCTCACAATAAGGCATGGCGGCGGATGCACAAACTTCGACTGAGCGAAGACTACGAGTGTCCCACCTACGATGACTTCTGATCTGTAGAACATCATAATATCTGATCTGCTGCACGTAGATGTGCGTCAATCGGTGAGGAAAGAGGAAGGACCACCGGATCCGGTCTGTCTGAGCAACTTAGCAGAGTTCTGTGGAAGCTGCTTTACAGGCACAAGTGCAGCTCCGTGCTGTCGGGCCGCACAGGCTACACACATGATCGGGACTACCTGGCCTTTAAGAAAAAGCCAATTGGACGGGCGGCGGGGCGCAATCGTGCCTGGACACTTGGCACTGAAGCTCGGAGAATGGAGCGACGCAATCCAGAGCACTTCAAGCATTCGAAAGCTAAGGTGTCCTCCGAAAGGCATGGAGTACGAGGGCTTCGGTGACAAAGACAAGGATGAAGATATCCTCTGAGCTACACAGAATAATGTCAACATTGCCTGGTCTAATCATTGCTGTCTTATGTTCTGATCGAAGCAGTAGTCCTGATTCTTGTTAGCTTCTTGTACATGATCTCTTACGGCGCCTTTGAGTTGTTCTGGCCATTGCGTTGCCCATGTTGACGCATGTGAAACTTTCACATTCGTAGCTGTGCCAGTCTTCATCTCCCTGGGCAGCCGAACACGAATCGTGTGGTGTTGGCCATCGCTGCCGGAAAAGACTTCCGCTGTAGATAGATAGTGAGTGTGTCGTCTTGGCACAACAGTTCCTTGTAAAGTCGGTCATTCTGGACGTATCTAGGACGAGCGATTGCTTTCCTCCCAGCTCATTGGACCCAGCGTGGCTGGCGCTGATGATGCGGAAAACACCGAAGCCTCAAGATGTGGTGAAGGGGAGGACTTTCTTGCCAGCCTTTCAGCCAAGCCTCGCCTTCAGGCACGAGGACTGCGAGACGATCCGCACTTTGCAGGAGAGCTCAGCCACGTACTCTCTGAGTTGCAGTGCTGTCCTAAACTCGCCGTGCAAATGGATACCATCCGCGTCTAGAAGAGATTTCATGAGATTTCCCGTCCGTAGCTTCCAGCCAAGTTCAGGCATGGTCCTGCAAATTGGGATGCTCATTGCAGGAAAGCGGCAACAGCACAGAGTGCCACCTGAGCCGGTTGAAGGCCCGGCGAAGATGTGTCGAAATGCGGGGTGAAGTCGAGGGCTTCATCACTTCATCTTTCTTCACCATGCCGTGTCGGAAAGAAGTCGCCTCCGTGCCTTGGAGGCCCAGCTCCGGCCTTTGCTGGGAGCCTTCAAGGCCCGGTGCCTGCCCGAAGGAGGATACGCTCCGCACCAGCGCAGCACTCACTCCGAAGGAACGCATAGGCCGAGGCCTTCTCTTCTCTTCACTCCGATATTGAACGCCCAAGGTGCTGGGGATCGACTGGGGAGTGTTGGTGCACGGACGCAACAGGCGACTGTGGGCCTGCGTCGCTGTGGGCACATTGGCACATGGCTCGGTCATAGCGCAGGCAAGGAGCTGAACGGCACACGCGGCCGGCCCGGTTCACCCGCCGAGGACTGCCGGGCGCCGAGCTCCCACCGATTCTGAGCCGTTGAGTCCTGTCCTGCGGAGTCGCTGGGGTTCATTTTCCCAAAGCGGATAGCCTCGATGCAACGGAACATCGCAGCTCGCAAAGAGTATACAAACTCGCATGGCAGATCGCACATAGAGCTACAATCAACACGAACGGAAGTTTCAGAAGCGCTGAAGCCACGGCAGCTCGCAGCAACTTGCAGCTTCACAAGGTGAGCTGATAGAATCGGTCCATTCTGCAAACATCTGCACACTCCGTGCACTGCATGAACCGAGAGGTGTCACCCTCGTGGCCTCGTGCTTCACAGGCTGCCAACCGCCCTTTCGGGAGCCGGCTCCAACATACATACGGAGCCACCAGAAGATCTACTAGACAAGAATCTTCCCTCCAGCGACGCTTGTAAACACAGCTCACGTAGTTGGTCCGTAAACCGAAATCCACCACGAGCAAGAAGTGGTCAGGGTTGGCGCCCCCATGTCGTTCTTGGATTGCCAGGATATTGTCGAGAGTTTCTCCACCTCGTTCTCTGTTGACTGCTTCTGCGGTTCCTTGGTTTTTCGGAATCACATGATCTTGAGGTGCTTCTGCTTGTGGTCGCTGCACGGCGCTGGCCTCGAAGTCCTGGAGTCTTGTACCTAAGCTGTGCCCGTCCCAGAAGCTGTTGCTCCGTGCACGAACTCAGGCCGAACACCAGCAGAGGGGCATGAACTGTGTTGTGGGAGCTTGCCTTCCCGAGGAAGCAATCAATTTCTAGTCGCGGCGATTGAGTTGTGTGCTGGGTGCTGTTGAACATCGTGACATGCGTGGCTTGTCGAAGGGAGCTCCAGGACTGCGATGTAAACGGCATCCAGCTCTGCCCTCGCAGAGAACGTAGGAACGTAGGAGAGTGGCTCCGAAGCCTCAGAGTTCATCCCCAGGAAAGGTCATTGCTACAGGTGAGACCCGACCCGCATCATGACCCTTGCAGCATTGGCTGCTTGGTAGCAAATGCAATCGGCTGGGGATGACAACTTGTACTTTAAACTTTAAACTTCTGCGAACGAGTGGGGGATGACGCGGCCCGACCAACAAGGAGGAGCTCGTGTGTGGGTTGACCGGCTTCGCCCCATGATGCTGGTGATCCGCCCCATCAGGAAGTTGCCTGCCCGAGGGCCCAGGTATGCTTGGCCGTCGGCGATGCTGGAAGTGCGCGCTAGAAAGCGCAACTGTGTTTGCCCAGCGAGCCTTGCTAGGGTCCCAGCCACAATGATGCCGATGCTGCACTGCCCCCCTACCGCAAATGCAGCTGGTGCCAAACTGGTTTTGTGATCGCCGCATTTTGCACGACAGCATCGAATCATGTAGGCTACGAGACGGCATGAGACGGCTCAGAGGCTTTGAGCGTATTGGCGCCCAGAAGATCATCACTAGGCCCTGCCGGAAGGTCAAGACTTTGGTCAGTTTCTTATCAAGCGTAACCTGTCATGGTGCTGTATTTGGTGATGATGATGGTGCCGGCAAAGGTGACGAAATGGTGGCCTTGATGGGCTGGTGAAGAGTTTCCCACACCCGGGGCTTCACCTGTTCGAGTCTGCAGTGGATGAAACAATGCAGAATTCTGCTGCCATAGCTTCCCAAATTCATCCTGAGAGCTGCCGATACATCACGAGGGATTCGTCACATCCTTCTCACGCAAGCAGAGAGCACTAGATGTGCAGTATCAACCGCGCTAACTACTTGCGGGAACGCCAAGTTTGAGACAACTTCAAATTTCAGCATCAGCAGGGATGCCACGACCCAGTACGATCTGAGCAGCTGTGCTCCTCCGACCGCATGGGAGCGGGAGTATCGCGGGCTCAGCGATACTGAGGCGCAAATCGTCTCATCTTTGATGTGCAGCCAGTCTGTCCGATCTGGCCAGGTCGACGGCAGATGGGGTGAGCCCTTCCAGCGCGTTCTTGGTCGAACAGCTTGCTCTCATGACTTCTCGCAGGTTTCGGGGGGCTTGCAGTTACCACAGTTCAGAAATGCGTACCGTCGGCTTGCAGCATGATGTTGTCAAAACCGTTGCGCGGGCCCCGCAGACGTTATTCATCGGTTCAAAAGGTGGCAAGCCACACTTTCTGCAGATGTGGCCTTAAGGGTCCCGTCTTCAGGAGGAGGTGCCCCCAATGTAAAGCCGCAAGCCTGGAGTTGCATGCGTTGGAACTAGACCCTACAACTGGCACAGGTGGCTGCAAAGAGGCTGACCGTCGATGCCGCAGGGAGATGAGAAAGAGACTGACGCCGCTCCTTCTGAATGATTGTGATAGAGTTTGGTCACTTGCTGATGGATTGCAAGCACCTGTGTCTCCCTCAGCGTCTTAGGTCAACATGTGGTCTCCGGACAAGGATCGAAATGAGAAAGCGCAGCTTGGAGACACGAGGCCCGGCATTTCGGGCAATCGGTCGAGATGGTTCGTCCGTGCTGCGGCGAGTTTGGTTCCAGCCAGTTGGCCTTGCTCAGGCAAGGATATGAGAGGAAGTCAACAGTCGAGGACTTGCAAGACAAGCTGCAAGTCGTCACTGGCCTCGGATCAGTGGCAGCCATGATGCAGTGTAACAGACACTTGTGCTCGGAAGCTCTTAAGGCCTTGTCTGCCTTGGACGAAACCAAAGGACTCGGTTGGGGGTTTCTGTGACTCAGAAGGCTTTTTGCAAAGATCCATCGCTCTGTTCGCAGGAGCCTTGGATGCTGCGCAGAAGCGCGTTTCCGAGCTCGAGTCCTCCGTTGCACCGGCACCCGAAGAGGAGATGCGGCTCGGACATAGACGGGCTTAAGGCTTGGGGCCTTTGGGGTTAAGGGTTTATAAAGTTGAACTTTGGGGTTTACATCATCGGGTAGAGCTCCCGAGTCCCGAGACCGCCACCGAGACCAGATTCCTTCGCGGGGATTCTGCTTTCTTCGATGAAGTCACTTTCAAGCTCCATCAAACTCCACGATTCCAGAGGCAAAGAGTTGCTTTCCAGACAGCTTCAATTTTGGCATTGCCGGTACGGCTTCACCCTCTCCGGCAAAGAGTATGTAGGGATGTGATGTCATCGACTCGGAAGATTCCTTGTGTGCGTGTCTTCTGCATCTGCAGCACGACGGCGCGGCGAAGGATTTGGGGATAAGCCGAGTTTCCCAAAGAAGGGCTTCCTCAATCTATTACTCCTAGAATCTTAGAACCGACAAAGCTGATAAGATCGTATGGCTTTTGACACAGCCGAGGCCGGTCAATGGCAGAATAGAAGCATTGAAGGCCTCGATGGCTTTCGTGGCAGTAGTTGCAGTGGAGACTTGGCTGACCTGGTCTGGGGGGGTCATGGAGTGTACGTTGCGTGCACCGATGCTACTCGCTGTACTGGGGCAGCAATGCCTCAGATCCGAATTCGCATTTCTGTATGGAGTTCCCTTGCTGCAGTACCCAGGAAGCCGTCTATTTCGTGTTCATCCTCGATGAGCGGAAGAAGTTTGGCGAAGCTAGCTGCGCCGGCGTTGCCGCTGTTGCCTTGAGGTTACACATCGGCAGGGTTCGTTGGTTCACAGTTCAGCGGCTTCAGTCCGGAATGTCAGAGGATGCTGTTGAGGTGCGCACATGCACACCCGCACGAATGCCACACACACACACACACCTTTGAATATATACGTATGTATATATGTACATATATATATATATAGTATCATACATATACACACACACACATACAAACTCAGACATACGTACACACGCACATGCATATGAACATGTTTATGCATACGTATATGTAGGTGTATGTGGATATGTAAATGTATATTATGGATATGGGCATGTATATGTTTTTTATATGCATATGCATTTGCATAGATATATGCACATGCACACATGTACATATATACATGTATTTTTCTATGTATGTATACATACACTTACATGTAAGGTGTTTGTGACATATGACATATGATGTATGAGACTTATGGTACATGATATATGTTATACGACTTATTCAACTTGTTCTCTCTCTCTCTCTTTCCTCTGTGTTCCGCTCTCCCTCGATGTGCATATGTATATATATATATATATGCGTTTTTTGTACGTGCGTGTGTGTGTGTGTGACTATGTATGTGTGTATGCATGCATGAGTGTAGCATGTATGTATGCATGTATGTATGTATGTATGTATACATGTACGTACGTATTTTGTGTATCTATGTATGCATGTATGCATGTGAATATATATATATATACAGACACATCTATGTTTCCATATATACACACACACACACGGATATATATATATATATATATATACACACACATGTACATATGTAGGTACATATGTGGGTACGTGTGTATGTATCCGTGTATGCGTATGTGTATGTCGGTGTGTATGTGCATGTATAGGCGGGCAGGTAGGCACGCAGGCAGGCAGGTAGGTAGGTAGGCTGGTTAGTTGGTATGTGTGTGTGTGTGCATATCTATGCACGCGCATCGGCATTTGTTCCATTTGCAGTTGAAGGCCATCAGGCTGAAACACGGCACTTGGCGCAGAACGAATCCCGAAGTCCTCGTGCAGGAGCTGCGAGCTTTGCGGCGATGGCACGCTGGTGATGCCTGTAGGCGGTGACTATGAGAAGTCGTGGCCAGCATTGCGCCTTTGGTGATTTTGAACCATGCTCTTTTTGAACATCTCAAGTCCTGCAACCGCCATGAAAAACGAATGATGGTAGACACTACACAGCGCTGTGCTGTTAGTCTGCTCGAGCCTTCCAAGGATCAGAAGTCTTTTCTATTTTTTCGTTCTCCTGTGGTCATTTCAGGGGGCCACGCTCTCAGACTGGGAGCCTGCAGTCTGTGAGATGCAGATAGAAGGGAACTGAGTAATCGACGGATCCTGAGGTTGGTATCATATGCGATGAATTTATGGCGGCGATCGAGAAGATCACCAGCAGTAAACGTTCCAAGTGGATAACAAATCCCGCTGGGCAGAAGGCAGAGCCGTACTCGCTTCTTTATGGGAACCGCATCTTGCATGTCTGCTTGAAGTCTTTGACCGCCTCCGTGAAAAGCCGACACCAGCAAAACTCCGCTTTATGGCCTTGATTTCATGCAATACCGCGAGATGATGTCGCAGTTCCCACTCCCGACTTTCTAAGGTGCATGTTCCGATGCACCCTCGTGGTAGGTTAATTTTTCGCAAGACGTGCGGAGGTGCTTTGACAATACTGAACCGTACCGTTCGCGATGTTGCTTGAGCCTGCGGCAGCCTCCCAACCGACCAGGAGTACCGTTATTGCAACCAGAACAACAGAAATCCCACCCTGGCATTCTGTAATGCCTCAACACCGTGCCAGGTTGAAGTTCGCGTCACCGTCTGGAACGAGACTCTTGCGAACTTGAGCCTGATGGCACTTTGTGCAGCATCTCAGAATCTCAGAGCCTTCGACCTCGCCTCAAGCATCGCTCCGGGAGCTCTTTGTCGGTCATAGACTCCTGACCTACTATATAGTTCTTGCTGCAGCACCGGTAGCAGCGGTGATTGTCGTCGTGGTCGTGGTCGTCGTAGCAGTCGCAGCAGTAGCACATGTACTGGTGAGTTGTGCTTTCCCATCTCCCCTGCCAAGGCACTAGGCCCGGCCCGGGCTTTGCGCTGCATTCTCTTTGCGGTAAAAGCTGTCCAATCGGGCATCTCGGGTGGTAGACTTTAGGGTTTAGGGTATTGCCACGAGCAGGCTAAGGATGTGGTGCCTGAGATAAACTTCGTCAATAAAAGTCGAGTGAGACGGGTTGATGGAGTCTGCGGATGAGTCACTGAAAGCTTCTTGCGAGAGCAGGGAATGGCAAGGTAGGTCTATGCCCTACGCACAAAATCTGGGACAGGCTCCTCAGCTCCAGAGATTCTTCTTTCTACTGTGGAGTGCCTTGGCTTCCTTGTTCTGTTGGCTTGTCCGTCCAACGCCCTGAGCCTCCCAGTACAAGCAACGCACAGGCTTTGCAGCAATCGATTCTTCTCGGGCAGCCTTGGTCCACAAACAGTTGTGGGAAGCGCATCCTTCAACTTGTTCTGTGGCTTGGCTCTGCAAGCTCAGCGCGGTTCATTGTGATGAGGAGCTGAACGACTAGTAAGAACAGATGCGACAGGGGCAAGCTTCAAACATTATTCACTCCAATACCGTATCTACGCTTTGGCAGAGTCATGCATGCGGGTTCATACCCTAGCACAGCCGGTGATCAGTCGATCCTGTTTCTGGTTGGGGGGGTGATGTGGCAGTGGTGGTCATTGTCCTCGACTTCGGCCGTACAGAACGTAGCGGGAATCGTACTTGTAGTTGCGACCGGGTGACCGTGCCCACAGCCAGGGCAGCAAGACCGGGCTCTGAGGTTTCGTTGCCATGTCTGAACTTCTCTTTAGCCGCTTCAGCCTCCCAGGCATCTCGTCCGTGTGCATCTCGGCGCTGGCGCCTGGGGAGGTGCGACGCGTCGAGAAGTATCCAGTCTTCTGTTTCACGTGCGCCGCATCGGTGATGGCCTACGTGCGACCTGGAGAGCATTTAGATAAAACTTGAAGTCTCACGGACTGTTTGCACCATCACATTGCTCCAACACCTCTCGAGGGGCGATCGAGCGCTGGAGATTTGAGCTATGGCGAACTCAGGTGGATGCTGGTTGTGCTGGCCGGAATTACACCTGACCGCGTGGATCTTGCTGAAGGACGATGCGCTGTCAGGGCGTTCTAGCCTTGTGAAGGATGTGCTCGAAAGCAAAGCAACACAGTCAATGCCAATATCCAGTCCTGCCAGGAGTCGTTACCTTGCTGTTCTTCTTCGTGTTCTTAGGCATCGCCTTCATCCTGGACAAGTACTTTTCCAAGACTGGGGTAGATCCTGATGTCGCAGAGGTGCACAGACAGTCTCCTGGCGAGCAGCCAGAGTATGATGCAGTCACGGCCGCCGACAAGAGGGAGTGTTGAGTTTCGTCTTAAAGCGCCTTCAGGCTAGAAGCACGATTCGGTCAGGCTGTTTCTCTCGAAGGACGGAAGCGTGAGGTGCTTCTCAATCCCGAGCCCTTGAAAAAGCCTACGCATGTCAATCCCATATCAGAGCATGAAGCAATTTTCGCGGCCCTGAGACAGCAGTTCCATGCTGTGCACCAGAAGAGCTCGTGTTCTCAGTTCGATGCGGAGGAGTTCAAGCAATGATGAAGACGCAGGCGAAGAAACAACCCATCGAACCTCGAAACACCAAGAACGAAGCCAAAGGCGCGGCAATTTGAGACAGGTTGTTCTTGTTTTGTCTTCGCTCGATCTCCGCGCGCTGGGTTGTTGCTGATGCAATCTGGCAGGCCAAATCTTGCGACTTTCCACTGGTGGTAAGAAGCAGCCGAGCGTGTGTGCATATGGCTTCGTAGACTCGGAGGCACATTGCAACGAGATATACCTTCCGTGTTCAAGCACAGTGGCCGCTGTGCTTCGAGTAGTGACCATGCGACCACGCTTCTTCGGCGAGTATCAACATGCAGTCGATATCGCAGTTCTGTGAGTGTCCTTTGCAATCTTTCACTGGTGCAGGTAGTTTTCCACGAGGGTGATGGCTGTGCCAGCCTGCAGATAACAGCCCTCAATGGCCCACATCCAGCACCGGCAGCACGCTTACCTGTCACAGCATTGTTGGAGCGCGTGAGACTCTGCTGGAGGTCGCACAAGGTTCATGTACAATCTGAGACATGACCTGATTCCAGAAAGGTCCGCATCAAGTATCGCACCCGAAATGGGATGGCGAAGGCAGGAAAGCGGCCACGAAGCTGCATTCAAGGTGAAATGCAACAATCACAACCAAGATGTTTTTTCTTCCTGCACCGAGCTTTTTTGTACTTCAAGGGTCGTTATGCAATCCCAGCTCAGGTATCACCAGAAATCCGGCGTCTTGCATTTCCTCCCCGAGGAGGAGAAACAGGAATTGAGGACACTTGGATTCGCAGAGACCGTCAAAAGACGCAGCTGAGTCGAGTTGACACATCCGACCCTCAGGATACCTCTCATGATGGCAAAAGGCCCTCCTGAGGAATTCTATGTCGAGCTCACCGAGCCTCCTGGCGTCACGTTCGCCAGAATTTAGCGTCAAAGAAAGCGCCATCACAGCCGAGGATCAAAGCCGATGGACTCGAAGGCAAGAAGAATCCGCCGGTTATCACACAATGTGGCAGCTGTCAGAGACTTAGATCCCGCCCTTGCGACGGGCCATGGGATTGACAGCACGACCACTGCTTTTGCGAGGTCTGGTTTGGGTCCTTTCATCCCCAGAGGCTGCTTAGCTGGACTTTCTCAAACCGTTGCATACGTGAATAGTGACTACAGTGACTACAGTGCTTTGTCCAAAGCGGACATTCAGCCTGCGACCAAGGAGGGCGGCAGCGGCCGCTTGGTTTCTTGAGCCTCGTGTCCGTAGCTCCAGGGATACCTGTGGCGTTGATACCTCGTGCCATTCAGGAAGTGAGCATGCTGGTCACACCGCGCTTGTTCTTTCTCCCACTAGTGATGGAGGTCCGGCCACTTTCTGGCTTGCTTGAGGGTGTTAGTGAACTGCGAAGTGCTGCCCTGCAGGTCGGGACTCCCGAAGAATGCAGCACCTCGCGGCCGTGCCAAGTGTGATGCCAAGTTGTGTAGTATGATCTCGGCGATGTCCAGCCCGGCATGACAGTGAACGTCAAAGACTACCTGAGGTGAAAACGAACCGGACACTTCGAGGGCGCTATCGGAGATCCGATCAGAAATCAAGTCGGAGGCAAAATCCGACGCCAGATCTGATGCCAGATCAGATGCACAAGGCCAGATCCAGCAGTGTCAGTACCGGGGTTACGGCAGAGTTGTTTGATTTCGTCACATGTGCTCGCTAATGATGCTAATGATGCTTGCAGTGCTAGCAGGTCCCGAGGAAGAGGACGAGCCTTTCAGCTTCTCGCATTGGATGGACAAGGCGGGCCGATATGCTGAAGCCTGCAGGAGGTTCTTAAGCAGTTAAGCATTGGTTCGCAGGCAGTGGAAGCTTTCTTCTGCAACGGCAGTGCCGAGGAGCACCCTGACAGAAAAGCCATGCTTTCGTTTGTTTTCGTTTTACTTCAACAGAGCAAGCCCGAAAGACTACTCACAACATGAGACTCGAATCGTGGAAAGAAAGTTGAAAGAGTGTGGCATCCCAAGGCAGGCGCAGGCTACGGCTTTTGACTGGCTGATGCATTGTTTGGCACTGACCTGGAAGACGGCTTTTCTGATCGCCATCCTGCTGCAGTCATACGGTTTCAAATTTCGGTAGAAGAGTTAGTGAGTTAGTGCTGTTTTCTCAAACAATTTTCAACCAGAAATACTGACAGAAATACGCCGCATTGATGTCGAGGTCCCGCCGCCGTCGCTGCTGGGTGCCTACCCGGCCTTCTTCTGCTCTCTGCTTGGCATCGGCTTGGTCACCGTGGCCCGGAGCCGAGCCGCCGAGCTCCGCGAGCATGTCGAAGCATCTCTCTCCTGCACTCCGGAGGTCATCAACGATGCAGCGAGCTTGTTGGGTTGCTCCATAGGCCGAGGGCCTTCAACAACTTCCCACCAGCACCGTGCTGTGATCGTGCAGGGATGGCAGACGACCTAACGGCGATCACCTTAGTTGCGCTTGGGACCAGCTTGCCAGAGCCTGGGCGGCAGATTGCACACCCGCGGCACCACTCCATGTTTTGGGAACGGGAGCCTGAATTGTAGCAGAGGACACCATGGCGTCCAGAACATCCGCCAAGTCGGACGAGACTGCCGACAACTCCATCGGCAACATCACCGGCAGCCTTTTGGCCGCCGTAGTCTTCAGATATCCATCTCGTAGGTATACAAGACCCATGAACGCGGCATGGGCTCCGCTTGGGATATAGGCAGCAGAGCAGGTGCGCAGCTCGAAGCAATAGCGACAGATTTGAATGATCCAGGCAATGCGGTGAATGTGCTGCTGGGTATGGGCATCAGCTGGACGATCGGCGCTGCCTATTGGGCCCACAACGGAGTCACGGACGATTCTCGGCTTGCAATGCGCGGCACTGCTTGAGTGTAGGTAGGCATCAACAGGTGCCCATAAATCGGCGCTTGTAGGGAGATTCCGGCTGCTCGGGCCGGGCCTTCTGCATGACGCTTCAAGGCCGAGGGGTACTCATTTTTTGAAGTTTGCAGACGGCTGGGACGGAGCCGGCTTGGGAGATGGCCTTGCTTGAAGAATTGGCTGGATGAACAACAAAAAGCATGGGCGAAGCCTCATTCGGTAAGTAATTAAGATGAGCAATAGAGCAGCATTTGGAATACGATTTGCAAATTTGTGGCACTGACAGGATGACCGCCCTTGAGAATAGCAGTGCGAGTAAGATCAACAGTTCAGGATGCATGTTGCTAGCACTGGTCTTTTCCAGTAAACTTTAATCAGTCTTGCTGGTTATCGCGCGAAAAAGGTTACTCACAACAGGAATCTTGCCATAGCACGAGTATTTTCTTAGTATTCAAGGTATTACTGATGTTTTCACTGGTGAGACAGTACGAGCTAAATTCAGATAGGAGCACTGGTGCAAGTATTCAACAGCTAAAATGTGGTCAACACCCGAGACTGGCAGCAGTAGGTTGTTCACACGATTCAGAACACGAGCAACATCGACCGTGTTGCCATGACGATTATCACTAGCATGGTGACGGAAGTTGACAGCAGCATGAACTGCACTGTTACCGAAATGCCTTGAAGGTGATAGCTGCCGTAAAGAAGCCCCAACTCCCAACCTCAGGAGTGGAAGGGACATCAAACAACGGCTGGCAACTATGAAACGCACGGCTCTCGGAATGGATCCAAGTTTGCAAAAAGGGCAATGGGCAAGTCGGCGAGTCTGTGAGCTGAGGCTCTATCTCGGCAGCAATCCCGAGGGCGGCTTCATCGTAGTGGCAGGCGCATGTGGCACGCCAGGATCTAGTCGAAGAGGCTTTGCCAGTCTTGGCTCGTATTGAGAGTGTCGGGCAAGAGCATGGGCCAGCCGAGATGTGCGCCTGTTGCAGTGATGTGCACAGGAGCGATCTCTTTCTCTGTCTCAGCCTTTGCAGTGCTTGCGATGCTCTGTGTGGCACTGCCGCTTGCATGATCTTAGTGCAACTGGGTCTTGGGTGAACACGGCGGAGAAGCCAGAATAATTTGATCTCTCGGATTTGAAGCTTATTTTCGAAGTGTGCTCGGCTTCTCCGTGCAATGCACACTTCTGTGCTTCGCACGAGGCTGTACATGCGACGCGTCACTTATGGCGGAGAGCTGGGTGGACCCTTACTGGCGCAGAGGACGCTCGATTAGGTGATCTGTATTCAGCATGGTGCTTGACAACTTTCATCCTTGCAGCTTGATGTACGCGGATGGGCGACGCTGGCACTTCCAATTCAGGATTTGCATCATGCGGACTGCTCATGTACCAAAACCACTGGCAGGAGAGATAGCTTCCTTTGCTTCCTCTTGTGGATTATGCAGCTCGAAGCATTTATCCATGCTCACATACTCACGCAATCTCATTCACGAGTCAGGGCCGGACAAGGTCCAAGACCGTTTTCTCTGCATGTCTCATCCACCATGCAGGTTTATTGCCGCGAACGTTGTGTGACTGGGCAGCACTGAATCTGCCTTCAATCCGAAGGCGGATGCTTCGGGTGCAGATGCCTGTCAGGTTTAGCCTCGTCTACTGAGCAATTGGCTGTTTCTTGCTGGGCTTTGAAGCCTGCAACGGGATGCCTCGTGGGAGCACCCAGCATGCACCGCCCAATTGGGCAAGCTGCATGAACAGCAGAACAAGCGTATGTTTTCAACATCAGAAAATACTTTCATGTCATATGCATTAAACGATGCTATGCGGCGCTGCACATACAGTGCCGACGATCCGGTGTGCTAACCCGAGCAGCTGTCACGGCCTGATAGCTTGCGAGTCCTGTACCTGGTATTTCAGCTCGCCTGGCGCACACTGGTCTCAATTTTTTGCCAGGTCATGCCGTGGCATTGTTCTGTGACTTTACAGACCGAGGGAAGAGATAGCGTCCATGGTGGAGCTGAGAACCGTAGATAAAGAAGCACAGCGGTGCACTGACATGGTGACACAATCCAGCTTTCATCGAAGCTCAGCGGTGACCAGCTTCCAACGGCTTCCAGCCAAAGGCTTTGGGCCACTGGACTTTGTGTGTACAAGATTCCACTATCCTGCAGCATTATCCGGTAAGGTAGAAACGCAGTGTCCTGGAAATTGAAAGTTCTTAACTCATGAGTTTTCGTCGCTGACGAAGATTTTTGCAGGATCTGTCAATGACATGTGAATCATTCTTACAAGCCTTGATGGATTTCACCACAAGCTCCGGCAACTTGTCGCTTTCAGCTTTCTGTCCCGTCATTTCACGCAACCGCGCAACGCGGTTCCGTCGCTGGGGAGTTCTACACCCCGCATATGACAGAAAGTTGTCACCAACACCGCAAGTTATTCCGTTCGGCGCACAGGCAAAACGTTCACGGAAGCCGTGCCAGAAGGATCTCGGAGTGTCAGATGCCAGAGGGATGTCAATTCCGTTCAATGGCTGCTCCCTTGCGCAGCATCTTCGAGAAAGAGAGGGAGCAGCTCCTCAGCTACGATGGGCATGCGTTTCTGTACTTCGCTGCGAGCTGAGTTACTTTCTGATGCCTCCCCTCCCTCCCTTCTTCCCCGCTCTTCGCATCCCCTCCCTTCCCCTTTGAAAGCATTCCGCCTGGGCTGCGCCCCAAGGCGCTGTGCATGCTCACGGCATCCTGCTGAGATGGAGATGGGGGGAAGAGCACAGCCATGGAGCCATCAAGGGTAGATCCGGCTAGTCCGGCTAGTGATACGATGCAGCTTGGAGCTCAGGTCATTCTGTTGCCGTGGACATGGTATCTTATGCGTTGCCTTCTCTTTCCGAGGCACCGTAGGATCGCAGGAGACCTTCGCACCTTGACGCTGCACCTTGGAGAGGCCGCCCCCGGAGCTGGACTTCGAAACTGGTGGTCTTAAAAGCGAGGACTGCAATTACAGACCTTTCTCTTTTTTGCTTTTTGGAAATGCCTTGTCTCCTCTTTCTAGGACGTTTCCGGAGCCGAGCCAGCGCAACCAACCGTAAATGATCTTGTATCGGCGTATCTGCTGACTTGATCCTGCGCACTGTCATGGATTAGCGCAGTCCCGAACTAATCGTGCAGAGGGAGGGCGACGACAGGTATACCGAAGATTGACTTGAACCCTTGTGCGTTTACGGAAGATTGTCCATAGGGCGTCGGCACGAGTGTTGCCGAGGTGCTTACCGTTCGAGGAATCCTGTGAGTGATAGATACAGCCATTGGAACTGTTGGCAACAGCTCCGTCACAATTGGCTGTCGTTACCTCTGCTGACGATGCAATCGTGACACCAGCGACGGAACGGGGAAGGGCGCGAGGGGAAGAGAGCAAACAGGAGCGAAGTTGTGCCAGGACAGCAGGGTGAAGCTCTGCGGAACCTCCCTCATGCAGGCGCAGGGTGCAGGGAGGATTGATGCCCGATGCCCCAGGCCCACCCAGAAGTGATCCTGAGAGCTACGACAGGCTCGCCGACACAACGCGCAGCAGATTGCCAAGCGGCGGAGGCTTGCTGATTCCTCCAAGGCTTTGCTGTTGATGCGGCTGTGGCCTATTAGGGGCTATTCGTAGCACTCAACCGGGTACCGGTTATGATTCGTGCTTGGGAACGTTTGTCCTGCACATGCCTAGTGGGTCAGGTTTCGTGGCATCATCAAGGTGCAGCTGGTCGGCGCAGCGATGGGATGGCCTGCCTCGTCCGGTTCAGCGCTTGCCCGTATGCATCTGTAAGCAAGCATGTGCTGTAGCAGGGACTCCAGACGGAGTTTACGACAGTTTACGACATCAGTCTGTTTGCACACGCCCTGTGGACACAGCTCGCCATGGATGATGACAATCAAGCATTAAAAAAGCCATGTGGGCTCAAGCCAAACAAAGCCAGCTTCTTGCCCTGGTTCAACCAGCGCTCCTGAAGATCTTCCGCCTATTTTATCGGCCCAAGAAAGAACCCACAGAGATATGAGTATCATGTGGACTTGTGGTGGAACGAGTACCAGGTGTTCCTGGCCAAGATTCGGGCTCCGAGTCCCTGTAGGTGTTCAAGTCAGATGGTGCAGGTTTTCAGTGCAACTGGGGTCAGAGTGTCGAGACATCCGAGCCATGTTGCCAGGACTCTTGACAGCCCATGGGTTCCTGGCATGCGTTTCTCCGAAGACAAGGGCACAATGCCTAAGAAGGCTGCAAATTTTGAGAGCCCCTGGAGTCTAACTGGGCTTTAGGCAGGCCCATCACTGTTTCTTCATGTTGGCCGGAAGCTTCTCGTGCGGCCGAAGGCTCATGAAGGTGACGAAGGCAGCGCAACCGACAGAAGCTGAAAAAGGAACGCAGTGGCAGGTCATCCAGAGCATCTTGCACGTTGGATGCGCCACGCCATTCTAGCGGCTTCGCCTTTTTCGACGCTCCCATGATTTGCCAGGGCGTTGCTCTTCTGGGTGCTCTGGGAGATGAAGGCATGGCGGTCCGACCCGCCGGAGACCAGCCTATCTTCGGATCTGCAAAGAAAGCCTCCTGCTGTTCTCAGCTCGAGCTCTGCGGTGCAGGGCTCGCCTACCGAGCTGCGAACTTTCGACCCTTACGACATCCTGGGGGCTGCTCGTCTCTAGTCAGGGGGCTTCTCCTTATCTCTCTCAAAACCTCCTTGCATCCCTTTTTCTGCCTCTCTGTCTTTCTCCCTCCCTTCGTCTCTGCCTCCTTCGACATCTGCGAAGCTGGGCCTTCCGTCTGTTGAGTCTCGCTTGCACGCTCAGTTGTTCTCGGAGCTATTTGATCGCCTATTTCTTGAGAGTCCTGGCAATTTCTGGCTGCTTTCGAAGGTCCAGCGTGGAGCAGAGCTGCGAGAGATCAAGAAGGCTGGGGCCGCACTGCCTTGACGCTAAGGGGCTGCGACCAGTTGAATTGCAGCTGCAGGCCTACCACACGAAGTCTCTGCAGCATCATCCAGACAAGGAGCGTCACGAAAGATGGAGTGCCTCATCTAGTTTTCCGAGAGGCGTAGATGCCTGACTGAATGATGGCTGGTGCTGCTTGGCAAAGTCTTGCTGCAAGTGCTGCGTTGGAAAGGACAAAGACAATCCCTTGGCGCCGGTTCTGTTCCAGCAGGCCGTCTGCCGATTAACGTGTCTTGTGAACCGAAGTGCATGCAGCTCAGGTCAATATGGAGACTCTCAGATAACTACGAAAGCTCCCTCCAGCAATAAAAGCCAGCTTTGCTGAATAGTTAGAGGGGTGTGGGGCCCAGGAGGTCACCAATTTCGGCTGGTTTTTCGGGCCGTTCTCCATGCTATGGCGGGATTGGGGGCGTTGCCGTTTTGGCCCCTTTTCGGGGCCGCACGGGTGACGTCTTGAGAGGGGAAACGGGATGCCAATGATGCTCATGATGCCTGTGCCTGGTGGGCCCGACTGCCTCTGGGAGAGGCGACGGCTTTCCTCGGAATGCCGGTCCTGTTGTTGACCGAGGTAAATTTTGTGTCAGTTGTCCTGTTAAACGCTCGCCGGCCGCTTGCTTTCTCGGGTCGCAGAATTCAGACCGGCATGTACAAGCTCTAAACCTCAAACTAGAACACTGCAGAAGTCCAGTAGCCAAGAGTGACGCCGACACCACACGCCAAGTGAGACGAAAACACCCCGTGTTGTCCTTCCTGCTCCGCAGCTTCCCCACTGGCCCCCGCTTAGTGAGCTTTCGTCCCCCCCCTTGGGGCACAAGTGAGCTCTTTACTGCAAAGTCATGCAGGTCTCAAAGGCATATGCAGCCCTGACAGATGATGCTGCGCGGAAGAACTACGAGAAGTGCCTCCTTTTGGGCAGTTGTGTATCTACTTCATATCGGTTTGGGGCGGGCAGGCATGCTTTCTGTTCTGCATGATTCAGAGACGCCCAGCAACAGTGGAGATGGCTGTAGTTGAAAGCCGTTAACTAATTAGTTACAGCGAGTTCAAACATACAGCCCATGTGTGCAAAGTAGCTACACATGGGCGCCCTCCCAGTTCATGTTTGAGACCTGCTGTAGACAGCTAGACGCAAGACCATCGTACGGTGTTTGAGTCCGAAGAACGGGTGACAGGCCAGTCGCTTTCCCGGCCCTGTGACCAAATTCAACCGTGAAGCCATAGATCCCGGGCTAGCGATCGACGAACGCTGTCGTACTTCACTTGGCCAGGGTGCCATGCTCGCTCTTTCAGCGGTCGGTGTCTCTGTGACCGTTGTCGTTGGCCTCTTGGCAATTGCATTGCAAATGAATCTGGACAGGCCTTTCTCGGCACCACTGGTCTCAACACTTGTTCCACTGGGGGTGAAGAGGAACTCGAAGAAACCGATTGTCGGCGACCGGATGTTGGTCACAGACCTTGAACAGCTCGTGGTCGTGATGACCGGCACAGGCACACCAGTTGCAGACCCTGATCGCGCAGCACAGGGGATATCAGTCTTTGCAGGCGGAGAGTATTTGCTCTTCGATACAGGTCCTGGCGTGGCAGAGAACATGGCTGCACAGGGCATGCCGAGGGGTGCTCTGACCCATGTCTTCTTCACCCACTACCACTCCGACCACATCGGCGATTTCGGCGAAGTGATGACCACATCCTGGATTTTTGGGAGAACTCAAACCTTGCAAACCCATGGACCGGAAGGCCTGAAAAGGGTCGTGGGTGGATTTGCTCAGGCCTACGGTCCTGACATGGTCTACCGTCGAGCACACCACACTGCAGCAGTGATGCCCACGGATAATTGGATGCCGAGCATGAACGAGTTCACCTTACCGGATGCTGAGATGAACATGACAGCATCTGATCCGGCGCCCTTGTTTAATGTGTACTCGAAGGGGGACTTGAAGGTCCAGGCCTTTCGTGCACATCATGAGCCTGTCGTTCCCGCAGTGGGCTACAAGGTGTCATACAAAGGCCGCTCGGTGGTTATTGGAGGTGATTCCGTCATGACCAAAGGACACAAGGATGCTTGCCGGGATGTGGATGTTTGTATTCTGGATGCGATCCACCACAAAGTCATTGAAATGACAGCGGAGACATTTAAAAGCATGGACCTATCAGAGGAGGAAGGAGCTTCTGAATACAGTCGCGTCTCGAAGATGCTTCTGGACACTATCGACTACCACTCGGCCCCCTGGGACCTTGTTGAGTTGGCAAAGGAATCGAGGCCCTCTCTGGTAATCCCCATACACATGGTACCTTCACCCACCAATCCACTCATGAAGCGGCTGTTGACCACCTACTACCGGGAACCGATCGAGCGGGTGTCAGGGAAGCGCAACACTGAAATCAAGTTCGGGGAAGATGGCATGGCATTGATCTTGCCGGCAAACAGTCAAGAGATCCAGGAAAAGCGATATTGATGCTGAATCTCGCCGTCTGTACACGAGAGTGGGAGCAGTGCAGGGTCGGCTTTAAAAGACTTGAAGAATCGTTCGAGAGCCCCCTTGCCGGTTTCCTGGGGTCGGATCTGCGAAAGCGAGCTTGACGAGAGATCAAGCCTTTGCTTCGCGACCTTTATATTGCTCCAGGACCCACCTCTGTGCTTGCCAGTTTCTCATGCAGAGGTACGGGAATCCAGATGGGCCCGTGCAGATGAAGGCGTGAAGCTAGCCAATCGCAGCAATCTTCGTTGATGCTGAACTTCATGTCATGTGGTGCTGCTCATGATACTTCCAGGAACAAGGCGCCCAGAGCGGTCTCTCGTTGTTGCTGCCTTGTTGAATGTGCTCCTCCTGGCTCCGAGTTTCACCCCGCAAGAAAACGCGTTGACAGGCAACCTACCACTGTATTCACCGAGAAGACTTAGCATTCCAAGGAGAGCTGCAATTCAAGGAGCCAAGAAGTACTAACAGCATCAGGATTGCTTCAGCTCTTGCCTGTAAGCTTTACTGACGGGGCCCCGAATTAAGCTCTACAAGAACTGGTCCTGCTTCGTGTTCCTCCACCACGAGCGCCATGGCCTGAGCATTGGGGCGACCGACTAGAGCTTCTGTTTACCGGCGCATAGCCGAAGTGGTCGTCGTGTTGAAACGCCCAAGCCCCGTAAGTGGCAGGAAGTGGAAGATGGACGCGGGGGTCAAGCACGAGAAATTGTGGTTTCGGTCGAGAGTCGCGATGCCCCTCTGTTCCCCTATATCGAGAGATGGTGGCGTGGTCTCCAAAGACCCCCATGCTCCACCCGCGTAGAGTGGGGACCCGAAGTCCAGAATTTTTTCGGCGTCGGGCCGCGTGCTTCTTGCGTAGCTGTTGGATCTGTTCAGCGGGCGTGCTGCCCTCTGTGAGGTTTGGCTGCTGCATGTGGGCCAGGAGGCAGCTGAAAGCTTGTGGTTGTGGGATTGTCCTGTTTTCTTGCTGCAAGCATCTGTAAGCAACATGTTGTGAAGGATTGGCAGTGCTAAAGTGCTAAAGAGGTCGATTAAGTACAGCTCGTCGGTCTGCTTGTTGTCACTGTGCACGGAGCCCGTAGCTGCCGTAGCTGCCGTACACGAGCAGGTGCGGTGCAAAGCCACGATGGCCCTCCAGGATCAAGGCTTTGTGTGCGGGGTTGGGACCTGTTGGCGAGAGACATCAAGAGACCCGGATGCACATGGTGGCTGCTCTGACATCGCACAGGTGGTGTTCTTCAGCTTTCTCTCCGGGACGCTTGGGCTCTCGGTGTACATGTGCCGCGCTTACAGTCTCGACTTGTCTCGGTGCTTGGGATCGTTGCTTCGACGCTCTGAGGTACATGTCCGGACTGAGCGCAGCAGCCACAGAGTCCAAGTAAGACATGCCCTGCAGAGTGCGCACACTCCTGCAAGATCGCATCTGCAGTTGCAAGAGCACACCATGCGCAACCCTGCCGAAGCCTGCGCATAGCGGAAGCCCCGCAAGGCAAGTCAGAGAACCTGGAGCCAGAAGTCCCTTTGCCCAGACTTCGTCGTTGGACCTGTCGCGATCGACTTCGGAGCAGCCGCTCTGTCTGACCTCCTGGCCTCAACGCTACGACCAGGCGCGGGAACAGCAAGCTGAGCCTTTCTGAGATCCAGCCCTCTCTTGGCAACCCAGCTCCTGAGGTCGTCACTTCCACGATTTGGAGTGAGGCGCGGAAGAATCTGCCACCTCCTGTGCTCCAGGAGCAATAGGGGTCATGTCAGGACGACGTGCTGTTCAAAGCGCCAGGTGCGGACAAGGACACCTTGATACCATTTGATGCCTCCCGCTCTTCCTTGTGTCACTTCAGAGAGCCTCCCTGACACTCTCTACCAGTAGAGTGTGGGACTGTGCGAGGAGTTCTTTGCGAAGTACGGCTGCGAAGTTCCAGTGCTGTCTGGTGCAGTCTGTAGGCCGCTTTGTCGCTCGCTTCCAGGCCGAGAAAACACGCGCTTCCTGTCAGGGACGTGAGCTTCCACACAGAGGATCTTCAGCGACCGTGCTGACCCAAGCAGGAGGACTGGGGACCGCCGGCTCCAGCTGCGGCTCCGGCTGCGGCGTGAGGGTGGCGTGCCTCTGGCCCAGGCTTGCCTTGGCCATGGGCGCCACGGGCTTCGACTACGACCTGATGGGCGCTTGGGCCCCTCGGAGCAAAGCTGATCCCGGCTCGCGGATCCCTGCAAAGACTTCACTTCATCGTCTTGAGGCGCTTTGGTGGCTTCTCTTGACGTTGGTGGCCTGGGTTGGGGTCACCATACACGACTTGGCCCTGATTGGGCAATCCCAGAAGGCATGCTTGGGGCTTGCAAGAGTGAATCAGCGAACTTGCGAGTGGACTGAAAATTGAAGACGTCGAAGGACTTCGTCCTTGATGTCAGCGGTGTCAACAAGCACTGCCCTTGCATCCGAAGCGTTTGGAAGTTTCTAGCTGGCTACAGGCGGGACTGCAGCCAAGCTCTCGTGCCCATCACCCGCGCCTGTGACTGCACAATGCGAAGGCCGCTGGTGCGCTTGGCAAATTCCGAACGCTTCGGAACACGTTCATTGGGCATCGTGTCTCTTGCTGAGCCGTTGTGTTGACGTCCACTTGTCATCATCTGAACCATTGCAGCTCTTCAGGCTGGCGGTGCTGTTGGCTCCAGTTCTGTTGGCCATTTGCCAAGATGCAGCTGCCTTGAAAAGGGTACCGCCAGCCATCCGCTGTTGCCAAGGCCTGGAATTTGCTGGTGCTGCTGTTCATCATCTGCCCGTTGATCCTTTTTGCTTTCATGTTGCTCGGTCGCAGCACAGCTACATAAGCTGCGAGTGGGATTCTGGGCGGGCTAAGACTCAAGAGTGGTGTTTGCGGTACCGCACGTCGATTCCACCAAGAACATGCCAAGTCTGGCTCCAAGGCGATATCCAATCCGAATGAGCGGCAGCCTGAGGGCAAAAGCTTGTCGGCTTAAGGAGATTTCGAGCAACATGAGGTCGTGCATGGGTCTTCATCATCTCGGTAGCCTGCGTTCTCTATGGATCGGCGCTCACATTGCAGCAGCTGGCTCGTGCCCCATTTTCTTGCAGCTTTGCCCGAATCCGATGCGGAAACCGGTTGTTCGGCCGCGGGTGTGGATTGTGCGCATTCCTCGCGTACGCGCTGGACGCTAAAGTGCCTTGCTTGCGAAGGCCTTCGTGGCTCGCACCGATCTGCGTCCGAGATATGCCCCGCCCTTTGAGCCGCGCAAGCACCAAGATCTCCCAACCTGCTCTGAACTCCGGTTGCGAGAGCCGTAACGTGCACCCGTTTGATCGAGGCACTGACCTGGGAAGCCCAGGGCTTTCAAAGCGCATCTTTGCAGCTGTGGCCTCGGGCATGCTGTCGATAACCGTAGACCGTACTTGTAGCCGCTAGTCGTGGTCGTGGTGGTGGTGGTGGTGGTTGTGGTAGAAGTAGTAGTAGTTAGTAGTAGTAGTAGTAGTAGTAGTAGTAGTAGTAGTAGCAGTAGTAAGTGTGGTAGTCGTAGGATGCAGCAGGTGCTGGCGCTGGCAGTGGTAGTGGTGGCAAGAGTCGCCATGGTTATAGTTGTCCTCGGCACATGAGGTTTTTGTGGTCACACTCAGGCTTCTGCAGGGGCTTTCGGGATTTTGCGGCTGAGAGCTTTTGGTCTGTTGGCTAATTGGGGAGCTAATGGGGTTTTGGGGCTTTGGTGCATTCGGGATATTGATGGTATTCGTGGCTTGACAGCCTGAAGATTTCGGGTTTGGAGCTTTTTCTTGTGGTGAGTATTAGGTCCCGGTGGTGGGTGTAGGCGTGCGCTAGATGCGTAGTGGCTACTGAATACGTACCGCAAATATGCTCAGCCCGCTGGTAAGTCAGCTTCTCCACTTTATGGAAACTGACGCACCGTAATAATCATCTGTCTCATCCAGTCGCCAACAGGTACATGTCAGCGGTATCTGCAGCCTTGCTCAGTTTTGTTGGATATTGTCGCTTAAATTTACCCCGCGCGTGTGACATTTCCCGAACCAGCCGCGCGCCGTAAATGTACATTGATGCAATGGCTGTTGAACGTTCAAGCAGCACTGACATTTACTACGTCGTCTCATTCATTCCGACAGACTTCAGTCGTCGTAGTGATTCGTGGTAGTGGTGGTATTGGTGGTAGTGGAGCTGCAGCAATCGCAGCACTAGTGGTAGTTGTAGCGGTGGTGGTTGTGCCTTTGTTGCCCTCCCCGACTTCTTGTGCAGTATCCTTGTGACACGTCTGCCAAGGTCCAGCCTCTGCACATGTGGCTGCGATTATTCAATGTCCCTGAATGTGGCTTGGTGGAGCCTTGCATGCCGGTGCTTCCGCATGGCGGTTGTGTCTGAAATGCTTACGGTGTTGAGCATGTTACAGTCATGTAGGGCAGGGGGAAGCCGTCGCACCATCATGTGAGCCTGAAGGAAGGGGTTTGGGTTTGCTTTGTTTGGGTTTGCTTTCGTGTGCCGCCGGCATAGTGCCGTTGGAGCATTTTTCTCGCCTGTGCGCCGTCTTCAGTGGGGTTAAGTAAGACATGTTGGAGTGATGCGATTATGGCGAGGTCGGTCCCGAGCTGCAGCTTTTGATCCTGGCTCAGGTATCTGTGAACCTGGCGGTGATTGGCTTGGTCACAACAGTGCAACTCGTTCTGAACAAGGCATGCCATCTGCTGACGACAGAGACCGCTCAAGAGCAAGATGCATTCCATTGGAATCCGAGGAAAAGTGCCTTCCTGGCGTTCCGTTGCTTGAAGGGCTTGCGCAGGCTCTTCTTTGTGGGCATAAGGGTATACCAGTTGCACGAGTTTCTCATGTCAGGTTCCAGACATGTTGAGCGAAACTTTGGCTAGGATTCATATTCCAGGTCGCAGTGGGCGAACCTGCTCTCCGTCACCTTCCCGGTACCCCTTACTGTTGGAAGCTCATGATGTTTCAAGCCACTCGGAGGCTTATGTTCTAAAGAGCTGCAAGTTTCTGAGAGGTCTACACCGTGGACTGGCAGCAGGCAGATGGCCTGCCCATCCGATTTCGCACCAAGGACCCTGAAGACTCCAAAGGGACTTGACGGTGTCCAGAGCACGAGCCCACGGGCAGGAAATGCCGGTTCAGGGAGAGGTGGCCTTTGATCCCTTCGCCATGATGGACGAGCAGCCGGACAGCGCCTACACGACGGCGGGGCATCCGTTGGGTGCTCCTTTAAAACTCAGTCAGACCTCCACAGCCCTCTCCAGGTCCACCTGCGACCGGAGCCAGGGGCTCTGCGAGTGCGAGTGCCAACCTGCGAGGGCTGTCTTCGGAGTCGCTTGGCATGACCGGCATATCAGAGAGGCGTGTACATCGCTTCGAGAAGTCGGAGCACGGCGAGCTTCGCGTGCTGCAGCCCTCCAGGCGCGTCATCTCTGCCCATCTCTGCCCTTCTCGCGATCTTTCAGCTTCGGGGAGCCCGAGCAGAGCGAGAGAGAGAGAGAGAGAGAGAGCGAGCTCAGCCCCTCTTGCCCCTTTTCGCCCTGGCGAAAGAAAGAGACCTGAGCTCTCGAAGGCGACTGGAGATGCCAGGAATGCCCGTGCTGCGATCTCACATTGTGCCCGATTCCGGGACACAACTGAAATGTGGAGCTGAGGCCATCGAAGTTGGAGCCAGCACAGTTCAAAGCTGTGATTGAGGCAGAATACATTGGCTGTCGTGCACCCGGCCTTTCGACCTCTCCGCTTGTACCAGGGCAGAGCCCTGCGCATGTCCCAGGCTGCGGCTTTCCATGGCCTACGGGTGGCAAGAAGTTTGCATTGGGCCCAGTGTCTGTTTCTTTTTCAAGTGCTTTGGGGAGGGCTTGCGCTGGTCGAGGTCTACGATGAGGATTTTCTTGACACGCTGGAGCGCGGCAGGAGTCCGAGAGTATCCAACAGCATCGTTGTTGGTGTCACAGTGAACTGCCCAGGTACCGCGCTCCCATACGTAGACGGACTCACTCCTGTAACTTGGCTCGTCAGGTTTGGGTGCAAGGGGAATTGCGCTCAGTTCGCTCGCTCCAAAGATCTGCATGGTCGTTGCTAAGGCGAAAGACTTGGCTGAGGAGGACTCTACAACCAGACCAACTGACTAACTAGTAGCTTCGATTCAGCCTATGGCCAGGAGGAATCCGATATGGACGAGTCTACAACTGCCGACTGTGATGCTTGGACGGCGGTTCAAGTTTCCCGAGGACCGACTGGCGTTCCGAGCGCACTGCATTGCCCGAGCAAGCCAAGGCAGTCGAATTCGCTGGCATTCCAATAGCGTGCCAAGTGCGAGATTGCGGAAGGTGCATTCTGAGCATGGTTCCTAGAACACAGAAGAAATTCAACCCCGCGCACTCTTGAAGCCTCAAAAGATCAGGACTTGATTTCGAATGCCACAGCCCGTAACAAACTCGAGCCTCAGAAATCCGAGACTCCTCCCTTTATGCTCTGGGAGTCTTCATCAGCATTAGTTTGGCTACCGTCCGGCCTGAAGCTTCAGTTCTCTCAGCACGGAGATGCCTTGAGCCCAAGACCGGACATGGTATTTGCAGGCCTTCTGCAAATATCCGGTTCCGGAAGCGTTTGCCGAACTGCAGCTTTGGCCATGCAAACTCGAAGCCGAAAGCATATCCTGAACCCAGGAGCCCGAGCCGAATTCTCCTAAAGCTCAAGTAAACCCTTTTTAACCCTACTCGTAAGCCATGAGAGGCCATCTGGCACCTGGCTGCCCTTTGCTGCGGCTCCCGTGCTACAGCCGCGGGAAGACACCCCGCTCAGTTCGGGCCCTGTGTCGCGTGCAATGTGGTTTCATGGTGATGACGAGGATGACATCGGTTGGCCGATGCTGATGCTGATGCTGATGCTGCTGATGATGATGCTGGAGGTGGTGGTGGTAGTGGTGGTGGTGGTGGCGGCGGTGGTTGTAGTGGCGGTAGTGGCTTTTAATCGTTACTCTTGTTATGCGTGCCTGTTTGTTGGCCTCTGTAGGATTTTCGGTCTAAGCGATAGTCTGGTAGATTTGGTTCTGGTAAGTGATACCTCTGCGATTATCATGTGCGTATCTGCTCTGGTATCTTGTTGGTCTCCATCGACTCGTGCAGTGAATCACGAGGTTCTCCGCAGAAGTAGCGACTGCACATGCACCGCAGAGGCGAGCCATCGATTCTGTAATTCTCCGACAGTCATGCGCAGCAGTTGGAGAAGAACGAAGCCGCGAAGCCCGTGCCGAGGTGGCGACGACCGAGAGGCTTCTCTGAGGCGGCTCTGAGTAGTTTCTCGGCGGACCACTGAGGAAGTCAACAGTCCAGCAACAGCCCATTGAGAAACCACGATTTTTCAGACTTTCCATGCGCAGAGGCAGAAGCATGTGGTCAGGGAGACATACACATACATGAACGATCGGATACTGGTTTGCATGAGCGCTGCAGCATGTCTTGACCTTGCACGACGGTCAAGCTAGTAGTGCATGACCACCTTGAGCGGAAAACTGGCGGCGCGGCCAATGTACTTTTGCACAACCACGCGCTGATGCGCGGAACTGTGCAGGAGTCTTGGAGAGTGCAAGCAGGCACATCGAACATGAAGGCAGAACGGAGAGGTACAATGACTGAACAATGGATGTTTGAGAGGTTGCAGCATAAGATGCTTCTTGCCAGAATCCTCATATTGCACTGCTCTATATCGAACTATCTTGTAACATGCATGCAGGCGACACATCAACGATAGCAGATCTAAAAACTGCGCGAAGAACTGCAAGCAAACCCTCGTGGACGGACCTAGCACTACCGAACGAGCAAGAGGACGAGCATGCAAACGACGTAGCTACATGTGCCAGCCTGTACGCATGACACAAATTTATGGCCAGCCGCAGCAATCCCCAACACGCAAACACGACATTTAAGTGCAGGACCACGTTTATAGCCATCCCCAAATCCCCAACATCGGGTCATCTTGTGACCACACAGGTTCCAGCCAAGCGGCGTAAATCACAACGATTCCAGGGCCTTTAGCTTGGTGTGTGTCCCTGAGAATACATTGCGAGAATTTCCAACCCGAACCCGCTGCATCATGCTATGAAGCCACAGCGCTTCGAACTTCCTCATGGGTGCCATGCCTCTGCTAGGCAAATTGGCAGTTTGCAGCCGCAACTGCCTCGGCAGAAGCCGCTGGCTGGCCGTGCAATTTCTGCAAATTCTGGTTAGACCTGTCTCCCGCAAAGAGGGGCTTGGTCATCGATGACTTCAACTTGTATAGACAGGGCCCAAAGCCGCCCGTTGTTGGGTTGTCGTGACAACTAGGTCGTAGTACGGAGCTGCATTTCTCCTGGCATGCAGATGCCAAGCTTGAAGCCTGCCGCAGCATGCACAGAGGGGACAAGGGCGGCCAGAACCAGCCTGGTGACGTTCGTCTGATACTTTACCTGACTGGTCTCCTTTGCTTCAAATGTTGGCCCTGCACAGATGGGAATCGCACTTCATCCAAAGCTTCTGGTGAAGGAGGGCAGTAAGACATGTCCAGGCAGCTTTGGTGGCTTTACCGGGCGATGTGTCTCCCTTGCCAGGAGAATCAGATCTTCACCTTGTGCATGTTCTTCGCCGTGCTGTTTGTCGTCCCCTTTTCCATTGTCTGCTGTTGCTTAAGGCACGGCCCAAAGCTTTGGGAAGCAGTGTCCATCGTCTAGCCAGACAGTGTTGCGCTCGCAGGGGGTCCAACATCTCCAGCAATGGCGTGTGTGGGGAGACCTTGAAGGTTTTCCACTCCTGCATAGACATCGAGGCCATGCCCATCCAGCCATGTTCAACCAAAGCAAGCCGCTGTTGTTCGCCATGGTGTTGGGCCTTGTGCCTGTGTCGGCGATTCGGAGAAGTCGTGAGGTGGCAGACCAGGACATGCCTGGACTCTTCGCAGCCTCGGTGGAGGCGGAGCCCGCGTTGCTAAGCCCTTGTTAGGTCTCCTGGCCTCGATCATACACCTCGCCCCTCGCAGTCCCGTCGACAAATCTGCGCAGACTTGAGCCCAATGCTGGAGGCGGGAGGCTGAGCCATGTGCGAATTAAGTCGCAGGTGCTGGCTCTGAGAGGTCATGATCCGCAAAAACCCAGAGCCCATGAAGCCTGGCTCGGTTGTGCAGTTCGTCCAGGCGGCAAGATGCGGCAAGGGCAGCAACATGTAGAAGGGTGGAATGGCACTGGCCCCACGCAAGGCCACGGGTAGTGGAGAGGAGTTCTGGCCTTACCTTGTGGTGCGGATGCAGCTGCGGCAGGGCTGGTGTGCCAACTGTGCTCAGGAAGGGTCGAAGAGGCGTTCTTCGAAACAAAGGCAGTTTGCAGTCTCATGTCAGTGCTGGGCTGCAGTACATACAACGCAGATCGTCAGGACCTGATGGCCGGTGGGAGGTCGAGGCAGAAAACGGCGCAAGCAAGTCATCCTCGCAGTCAGAACCTGCTACAGGTGTGGCCTGTGACTGGCCCACCCAAGAGTGCGGCAGAGGCGGCATTCTCAGTGCATCTCGCGAGTGTTCGCAGTGGGCTCCTTTTCAGGTGCAGACAAAGGTCTTTCCTCAGTCCGTGTTGGCTGCGGCGGAGCCGAGGAGCGAAGTTGCGAGACCAAAACGGGCTGGGATGCTGCAGCCACTTCAGGATCAGCTGCCCCTTCAGCGATCCTTCGATCCGACGCGGCACTGCCGTCCTCTGGGCTCACATGTGGCGGCTACATCCGTTCCTGGCTCGGAGCCACAGACATGTGAAGAGCCTTCACATGCGTCGCTCTCAGGCACATGCCTCCACCGGTGCAGGCCTGGGCCTTTGCACTCCACTCCCTGTGTGGCGTCACCGCATGCGAGAGATGCCGCTTGCAGCTGCAAGGCTTGCAGGCTTTCAAGATGTTTCGCACGAGACTCGATGAGGCAGAGTTGACGGGGCGGTTGATGCATCTACCCAAGTTGGGACGAGCCGTGGCCTCGATGGGTAAGATTTCAGCCGGTTGCAGCCTTGAGCGCTTACGCGGTCAGCCGGGGTGCTCAGAGGCAATGACCTCCATTGCAGCCCACGGCGAAGGCGACCGCTCCGGCGTGCGCCTCAGTGCTGGAAATGGGCTTGTCTCTGTGCTGCCGAAGCCTCGGTCAAACCCTTGTACACATAAAACTCGATGTCTGCTATCAGGGCATTGTGCCTGCACGAGCAGAGCATGGTTTTTCGGTTTCGGCGAATGAAAGAAAGAGAACGCATTCCGACGCAACGTGTGAGCCACTGAGGCTTTGTGGACATCGTGCGCAGCACCATCAAATTCCAGCGCTGCCTCGTGCAGGCTCGCCAAGCACAGATGGCTCCCTTGCTGAGATGTGTGAATCTATTTTGCATGCCATTTCAAGCAACTACATGGCCATCGATAATTACAGTAGCTGTTGGTCAAGAACATCCAGAAGGGCTTGCGTTGCTTAGATGTGGCCTCGTGTACGTTATGTCACGCCGCCAGGCGATGGACTTTGACGACTCACCCCTGCTGCAACTGCCACACGTGAGGTCTTCTACAAAGTGCTTGCACGCGGTTGTGCTCGCATGCGGATCATGATCAAGGCAAACAGTTTCCATTCCCCTGACTGCAACAACGGAGCAGGTCAGTACCTGCAAATCCTCCGACGCTGCGGGAGGAGTGCAGATGCACTTTCATTCATCACGCGGTGTTGATAAATATAGGACTTGAGAAGCAGAGGCAGATGACCGTCACAGCCATCTAAAACTGCGTCTTCTGAATTGGCAGGTTGTGGAGTCGTGTGGCGAGGCGTCCCTTCTCCGGCGAATTGGGAACTTCTCCGCAGAACAGGTGGGACAGCTGCCTTCCGTGTTCATACGCTACAAACAATTTGCTAACCTGGTTCCTCTCGTATTTTATCCCGCCAGAGCCCGTGGCTGCAACGAAGAGATACCACCAAAACAGGCCAAAAAGAGCTGACACAGAATTCCGCGCTTGAGGGCCAGAAGCAGAACGACAGGAACCATTGTTCGAAAATAATGCTTGTAGCACGCAGGGTGAATCTGGCCACGACAATCCGAAGACGTGGAAGATGATCCAACAGCAAGATCGATAGTCTGGAGGCCCTCACAGAGGAGCTTCAAGATTGGGATGATCGGAAGCAGGGTGCGCAAGCACCAACCAAGTCGTCGTGAAAACGACAACAGTGTCAGCGTCGGCCGATTATATGATGTCCGAGTCAGTCCACAAATGGAAAGATGTGACCCCAGTTGCATTTGGTCAACGCAGAGGTGAACACAAGGCAGGACTTGGATACCATCAAGATGCCGATGACAAAGCACCACAGACCCAGGTTTTCGAGAGACAGTAGCCAGCAAATCGACTTGCGAACATCCAGAATCATGCTGACAGCGATCTCGAGGAAGGTGCTGCACCCTCATGACTCGCCCGTGCCTAAAAGGAAGCAACCAAAAAGCTTTTGTGCATGCATTGACGCATGCGCAACATGTGCGGTATTCAAAAGCCGTTGCCTCCCTGCTTCATTTGGAGGCAGGCTTACAAGAGTCCTTCCTCCCCCACTGCACCCTTTCGAAGCGGTGGTGCATCGAGCTCTCGTCTTCGCAGACACTCATAGCGACACGACTCCGGACGGCACTTGCTGATCGGAGACTTATACGTGTGTTTTCTATGTCCTCCTTGTCCGCTCTCACCGTCGATCTTTCGCCGCTTTCGCCACCGGCAGTTGTCTGTTGAAGGTCTTGGACATCCAAGCCTTCTGCAGACATGCCCCCCTGGTGGAGTTAAGCTATGTGGTCGAGGCCATTGGGGATTCTTGCCTGTCTCGGCTGTCTCGTTTGTGAGCAGGTGAACGACGAGCCGGATATGGCAGAGGGGGACCTTGGTACCCTCAAAGCCTTTCCGGCAAGCTTGTGCCGCTGATCCATATCTTGCTCTTGCAGTCCATGTGATTCCCTGCTCCTTTGGGTTATGAGAACTAGCCGATTGATTTAGTCATCTGCTGGCTTGAATCATGTGCGTGGGTGTCCATGAAAACTAAGACACACTGACGATCGGTTTGAAGAGGGCGATGAGGGCGACTGAAGCAACGCCTGCCGCCAGATCACCCTTACGCGCACGAACTTGGACGCGACCGAAAGTGTCGGTGCAGTTCATGCGCCTCTGTTTCCAGGAGTGAAGTTCGAGGCCAGTCCTGCATTCGAGATGGGCTATAATTAAGGCGACAAAGCCTCTGTTGTGTGGCGAGGCTGCAAGTTGCTACTTGCTGCCATGGCTAGCGGCGCCTAGCGACAGTATACGAGATGTCAATTGGCATGGGTGGCGTTGTGCAGGAATGGTGGTTGCTGGTCTACGACAATCGTGGTCGAAGGACCATCACTGCACCTTTGCAAGTGTCAAGATGCAATTGCCGTTTGCCACACCAAAGTTTTACCAGACGCAAGCAGGCACTTGGTTGTTGTGTCGGCTTGATGGGTAACATGAGCAGACTGCTTTGCACATGCTCTTCGCGGGCCTCTAGGATGATCGCGACAGACCTTGTTTTGGGCACTGGCAGAGAGTGCAAGAGCAATGTGACGTTCATCGCCGGGGGCCCAATCTGCTCACCTTCGTTCTGACGAGCGCCGCCTCAAGTGGTCACCGTGTAGCCGAAAAGCTCCGTCATTGTGGTGGGCTAATGCTGTGAAATGCCCGAGTCTAATCTTGCAGATTGCAGCAGCGGCTTCAATTTCAGGGCACGATGCTGTGCCAGCCGTCGGCACTCCAAAAACCCCTAACGGTGTCCTGCAGTAGCTTTCATCTGTAGTCTCAGAGCCAACATCTGCATACGAAATTGGCACCCTCTTGCCAAACATCACCGCGATCTTCAGTGAATGATCCCACTAGGTTCCACGTCCCGGCGACTTCAGCTGGACTGTCCATGCAATGTGCGACTCCTATGCAGGCGCTGGGCAAGAGTTAGAACATGACAGACTGCTTGTCCCTCTAAAGTGTATGTACGACTTGATTTCTCCAGAACCTGGGCGCTGGTGCAGGCCTTGACGTGCAGTGCGACGTCCACTTTCGGGCTGCAAAGAAGAGCGAGGTGGACAGGCCATCCTGTGACGACTCGATTCAATGGCTGGCGTGGGGTAAGGGCGGCAAGAGTGCTAGGAACTGCTGGACTATGGACACACAAAAGCCCCGGGCATTGCAGAGGGTAGAAGCATGCCTGCAATCCTCGGCCCTGCCAGCTCTTTGTGTAGCTAAATGCACAGGTTTGCACATTCTTGTGCGCTACTACGATTACTATTTCGTTCGCATGATTGCCTTTGCGATGAATGTAGCTGCAGTAGCCCTGGTACTAGTCGCTGCAACGGTGGTGCAAGTAGTAGTACCAATAGCCATCAGAGGGTTAGTGTAGCAAACGCTAGGCGAGTCATTCGGCTAAATAGGAAGAGGAAATTATGATAAGAAGACTTGTTGACGTCCGAACTGCCGCACAGGTCCATCTTCGTCCATCCAGAGGCCTCCGAGACATTCCGTGTTGAGCTTCTTCTTACGTGTCAAACGTTCAAGAGTTAAGAGGGAATGGCGGACAGTCTGCGGCCAACTCGCATGGATGGACCCCTCTGTGCGATGCGCTGACTGTGTATCTACCCCTGTTGTTCAGTTTGGTCGCATGGGCCGGTGAAAGGCTTCCTCTGCAAGATGGCTAGGGTACAGTAAGAATGGGTAGGACTTGTACTGAGCACGGGCCGAGCAGACGAGTGTTTGTCTCCACCAGTTGTAGATACGGCATGTTGGAGTATATGGGGCTTTATCGGACCAACTAGAATTTTCGCATTTTTGCGTCACTTTTGGTGATGTTCGAACTTTGCAGCAAAACTGCTCAAATCGCTCTAACATGCAGAATTCTCGTTCTTAAGCTCTTTACTGCAAGAGCAATTCAACAATGAGCCAACAATGACTCAATAATAGATTAAGATTGCTGCAATAAGGACATAAAGACTTCGGAGTGACTCGATTAAAAGCAGCAGTTTTCCCCGTTAGAGACTCGGAAAACATTGAGTCTCTGACCAAGTCTCTTCCGCGACGTGCCGCGCTGTGCTGCAACTCTCGAGCCGTGCTGCTATACTCTCACACACTGCCAGGCCACGCCTCTACTTCCGCATCGCGTTGCACCGTACCGCAAAATCCGCGCCGTGCTTTCGTCGAACCACGCCGTGCTGCTACTCTCGAGCCGCGCCGCTGCTCCCAACTTCCGCGCCGTGCTGCTCTTCTCGCGCGGCATCGCGTTGCTCTGCTACAACCGCGTTTGCGCTGTTCGCCGCAACTCTCGTGCCGTGCCACATTTCGTGCAGTGTCGCGCTGCCAATGTTCTTGCATCCACAAGCGGTAACAAACGGTCACCGGCCACAACGCTGCATGTTTAGTCGCAGCATGCTCCGCATCACATTTCGCGCCGTGCCGCGCTGCCAATGTTCTCACGTCCACAAGCGGTAACAATGCGGTCACAACCCGACGCGGTCACAACACGGTATGTTCAGTCGCTGCATGTGCGCGGTCACAATGCGGCATGTTGAGTCATGCGCCGCATTGCTGCAGTTTTCGCCTCTCCACGCCGCTGCAGTCGCCCCAACACGCCGCTCTCACACCGTCCACATTTCGCGCCGAGCCGAGCTGCCAATGTTCTCGCATCCACAAGCGGTAGCAACGCAAACTGCAGGTAGTCACATATCGACCACGCACAGCAGACTACATGACAGGGCATAGTTCTGTGTGAGTGTATCCATCTATCTATCTATCCATCGCCATCCATCCATCCATCCATCCATCCATCCATCGCCATCCATCGAGATGCATCGATATCCATCGATCTCCATCGACCTAGCGATCTATCTGTCTATCTGTTTATCTACAGTAGGCAGGCGTGCGTGCTTCGCACGTTCTTTGTGTTTGCATCTTGGTTAGGCAAGTTTGTGGTAGGGCAGGAGATCGATAAGAGTTCCTGCATGGGTTCCATGAGACTCAGGGTTTTGGGCCTGAGGACTTTGAGTTCGAATTTGACAGATCAAATCCTAGGTGCGCGCCATAATCCTGCAGCAATCACATCATTGGCTCCCGGCATTCCTGACGATATTGGTCTCCGAGGGTTTAGGGTGTGTGGAGCAGGTCCGGCCGGGACTCGGGGGGTACAGCTGAGTGCTTCTGGACATGGTTTCGGAGGGAGAGTTGGTCTCTGCGATGTTTATCGCTCTGTCACCCGTCTTCTCGCAAGGGCCTGTGACCAATCCAAAACTGTATAACCAATCCCAAACACTTCCAAACCATTGCTGAAAAAGACAGCACCAAATCCAAAACCGTCCCAAAAGCCTTGGTGGGGCAGAGTGGGGTGGGTGGGATCTTGGTATCAAGCCCTAATGCGGGACGGGGTCAGGAATGTCCAAGGCCTATCTGTGTCATGTCTAGCTTCATACTTGCATACACCCGTATATATATATATACACATATGTATATACATATGTCTTTACAATCGGTCAATCCATCTATCTATCACTGCAATGGTTGTTAGTGGTTCTTATGCGGCCTCGCTTCCAAGCTTCCATTTTGTGTCTCCATGAGTTGCCAGGCACTGTGACTGCAGTCCAGTGGATGCTGCGTCGTCAAAGTCATAGTCAAAATCTATCTATCTGTCCATCCATCCAACCATCCATCTATCTATCTATCTATTTATCTATCTATCTATTTATCTATCTATCTAGCTATCTAGCTATCTTGCTATCTAGCTATCTAGATAGCTAGCTAGCTAGCTAGATAGCTA